AATGGGCTGCAGTGTGTGAGTCACAGGTGAAATTAATGCTGCACTATAAACACTCATCTTTATAAATCTCTGACTTATTGTCAAACAAAGAAAATCAACAAAGAAACAAATAACCCTAAAATTAAAGAAAACAAAAAGTGAGACCTCAGAAAAACACAAATAACGAGAAAACAATTGTGATTAATATTTTGCTGGTTTCTTAGTTTTTGGCTTGTCTTGTCTCACATTTGTGTTAACTGTTTTTGCCTTTTCTTATTGTTTTTGTATTTTCATCATTTTTGTGTTGTCTAAGTGTGTTGTGGTTCTCATTCCAGCACCACGGTAAAAAGGTTGCATAACTGCAATCTTGCCAAAATCTACACTTACCATTTGCCTGAGACTAAACTCTCCATAGATTAATGATTTACATCTGTTTTTTTTTTTGTCCGACATGATGTTTATGATAATATGCTATTAATATGCTACAAATTGAATATGCTTTTATAGGTAACAGTATTTCAATTAAAATTATTTCAAATATGTATTTACTTTTGAGTATTTTGTAATTTGTATTTTGCTGGACAGAAAAAATGTCGTTCATAACAAAATACTTTATGAGAATGTATTTTCTGTAGACATATTTATTATATTTAAAATGCTTAATGGGAGGTGGCACGATGGTGCAGTGGTGAGCACTGTCGCCTTACACGTCTGGCATCTGTGTGTTCTAGTTAATTTCAACAGGTTTGCTAAGGCAGTGGCATCTTGTGGATTTATATCTGGATGTATGTCCTGTATCGGGTGGGTGGCACTGCTGTCTCACAGCAAGAAGGTCCTGGGTTTGATCCCTGAGTGGAGTTCGCATGGTCTCCCTGTGTTTGTGTGGGTTTTCACTGGGGTCTCTGGTTTCCTCCCGCAGCCCAAAAGTGTGCAGGGTTGGCTGATTGTCGTGTCTAAACTGGCCTGGTGTGTTGGTGCCTGATGCTCCCAGGATAGGCTCTGGGTCCCCGGCAACCCCAGTGGGGATTAAGTGGTCACAATAATGGATGGATGTCCTATATGGAACATGTCATTAGTGATAAATCTGGCTAGCTACTTTTGTTCCTAAGGACAAAATTAATTTCTATCATATTTTATCATCACTAAGCCTATATAAAAGGGAGAGCCGACTGGTGAACTGAATGTTGCATATTGCATATATTTTTTGATCATATATCTAAAAGACTGTTTCTTTGAGTTTGCACATGTTGGCCACCCCACATCCAGTTAATATGCTTAGCGCACCAAGATGGTGTCCCACAATGAATAACTGTTCTTTTTGCCGCTATTCTCCTCTCTGCTCTTGCATCCAGTGGATCCAGGGTCGGTCCTGTGGCGGAGCTGGCCTTCCTGATCAGTTTTAACTAAAGCTTTTTCCCCAGCATGCTACACCTTGGAGAAGCACATGGCCACTATGGACAGCTATAGCTTACAGGGCAGATGGCTGCACCATTTATGAGACCTAAACCTCCTCAGAAAGTAGAGTCTGCTCTGGCATTTCTTGTAGAGCTGTGCTGTGTTGTCTGCCCAGTCTAATCTGCTGTTGATGTGGACCCCCAGGTGCTGTACCACCTCCACTCTCCCCCCCCTGGATGATGATGCTCTCAGGGGTCCCTCTCATGCCTGCCATCCACCACCATCTACTTTGTCTTGTTGATGTTGAGCTGCAGGTCGCTCTCCCTGCACCACCAGACAAGGTCCTCCTCTACTCCCCAGCACTCTGACTCACCTTCGCTGCTGATGTATCCTACAAACGAGAAGTCATCAGAGAACTTCTGTAGATGGAAAGAGCTGGTGTTGTACTGGAGGTTTGACATGAAGAGGGTAAGCTGGAAGGGAGATGCCAAAACTGCTGACTGATGGAGCGACTTGCAGTACTGCAGTACTGACCACAAAACTATCTCAGTACTGTTGAATAGCAGAGCACAGGAACAATCGCTGTTTTATTATTATGAGACTGTGGTTAGGCTTGGATATTAATTGGCAGATATGTTGTATATTCACCAACAAAAGTGCATAAATGCTAAGGTTTTGTGTCATACAGTACTATCGGTTGCAATGTAGGTAATAGTAAATCATGAGAACCTCAGGTCCTGTGACCAGGGGCGCTGCTAAGGATTTTGGGCCCCATGAAAAGAATCTTGACAGGGCCCCCAACACAGCTGAGACTTTTTTCTCTGGGCCCCCTCTCAGTCATGGGCCACGAGAATCGTCATCGTTTACCCCCCCTTTACAGCGCCCCTGCCTGTGACTCTGCATAGGACAAAGGAGTATGGAAAATGGATGGAAGGATGGATGAATGGATGGATAAATGAATTAATGAATGAATGCAGATTCTGCATTTAAGGGTTAGCTAGGATTATTTTCGCATGTTCTTAGTGAGTGGTTCATGTCGGCAATTTTTTTCAGAAATGTACAGATAAACCAGTCACCATATCTTGACCATGTAACCTACTATCTGTGGCAATATTATCTTTATTCTTGTAACTAAATATAGAAACAAACCGTGACCTGTTATTCATAAAAATCACTACCAGATTTTCTAAATATCGAGATATCAACTAAATGGTTGTATCCCTCTGCAAGGATGCCATTACATGCCTACACACTCCAAAACGTCATTTTCCATATGTGTTTTCACTATAATTTCCCTTTACCTTCCTATTTGTGATTCTATCATTAGCCACTAGGTGTCAACGCAAACCCATCATTCATACTCTATTACACATAGCCCTCGATTTACGGTAATTCGGTTTACGTTTGTTCCCCATATAATTTTGATAGCAGAATTTGGATTTACAGAGTGATTTCCTTGATATAATGTTTTTCAGACGAACAATGTATTGAAAATTGTATAAACCTTATTGTATCCTAGACGGGTAAATATTATTGTATTGTGTTACATTGTATCATACATAAATATCCGGGAATCAACTAGACCTATGCCGTTCAGTTCCGAGAAACCTTCTTTCGCCATCTACTGGTGTAATGATATAAAGCGGTCTGAAGGAGTCTGTAGGGCAATATAATAGAAATACACAATATTTTGAATTGTATGTGAAAGGGACCCCAACAGCGGGATTTTGTGGTTGGCTGGAAACATTTTATATACATTTTCTTTTTTTATCATGTATTATATTGCAAAGATTTTTGGATTTCAAAATTCATAACGCAAATAAAGGGAAGGCTGTATTATCATTATATGAGTTTAAGATTTGCATTATAAACATTGCACCTGGACCTGATGAGAACAGGTTGTTGACTGGAAGATCTCATGGACAGACCTCTGATGGATAGAACCACACCACATGGAGTTGCTGGTCCAGGCAGTTTATGAAGTCCTCCCCAGCCCTTCCAGCCTGCACTATTGGGGGGGGTAGTTGAGACACCCCAGTGCCCTCTTTGCTATGGAAGGAGGCCCTGAAACATATCTTGAGCAGCTGTCCAAAGGCCCTGGGAGAAGGTTGATATTGCAGGCAGCATGACCAGGTACATCAGACCATCTGCAGTACCATTACCACCTGCCAGAGGTCCAAACCCTAAAAGCTAGGTGTCAGGGTCGGTGCTCATTTGGCCCTGCCCCTTTTGTTTCGTTCCTGTTTGGCCAGCAGGTGTCGCTGGCCATCCTGGTCCCTTTGTCTTGCAGCCTTTAGCCCCTGGTGTGTTCACCTGGTCCTCAGGCCACTATGTAGCTCAATGGGTTGAGTGAGTGACTATAAAGCTGTCATTCCTCTAGTTGTGGGTTCTGGGCTGGCTTGAGGTTTGCCTCACATTTTGTTTAATTTAGGGGGTTTTATTTTGTCCTTCACTTTTGGTTTTTCCGTAGTGTCTGTTATGGTTTCTTTGTGTTCCTGTTCGGTTTACTCTCTGTGTGCCCTGTTTTATTATGATTCTGCCTGGTCTTTATGTTTGCTTCATGGTTTAATTCTGTTCTTGTAATTATGTTCCTAGTCTTCCTCAGTGTTAGCTGTTTCAGGTTTCTTAGTTTCTGTGCTTGTTATTTGTAATTTACTCCACCTGTTGCTTGTTGTTCTGTACCATTGCTGATTGGTTATTTTTTGTCAAGTTCTATACCTGCCCCTTGTTAGCCTTTATTAACTGTGTATTTAAGTGCCTGTTCTGATCCTGTTCTGTAATCAGTCATTGCATATGTTACTGTGTGTTGTTGCTTTGCCCCCGTGTTCCCTGTGTCGAGCTGGTCCTTATAGGTGTTACTTTGTTTCTTTAAATTTGTCCCTTATTTTACCTGCTTGTTTTTTGACCCATCGTAGGTCCTTTATTTTATGCTTTTCCTGGTGTGTTCAGTTTAACACCATTGTCTTGGATCTGCTCTGTGGATCATCATTTTTTCCCTGCCTACATCATGCCCTGCTGTGACACCAGGAATTGCTTCATCAGACCCAGAGAGAAGCCTGCAGCACTATCCATAGCACCATCGGGGCTTCTGAACATGCTACAGGATTGGCAGCTGATGGTAGACTTGGGCAGGCAACATAAAGTTCCCTCAGCATGTTGCCAAGATGACTCTCAGACCTGACATCTTACTGGTAGCAGAACTGACAGAGAGCGTGGTCATATGGCAGCGCACCATGCCAGGGGACGAGCATGCTGAGGAGGCCTTTGATAACGTGATTGCTGATGTGTCCTAGCTCAGTAGCTGGATCACTGAAAAAGCCATATATTCCATTAATGAATCTGCGTATGCTTTGAAAATGGTTAAAAAATATAAAAGCATTTAATAAATGCTAGTGGTTTGATTTTGTATACAAAAATAAAATTGATCTAGATGGAAAAATTATGTTGGATAGTGTTTTACGTTAACATGCGTAAAATCCGTCTCAGAGTTTTTCCTAGAACTTTCCCAAACCCAGAGCGTTTTCTTGTGCGCCCAGAGAACTACACACCCCAGAATTCCTCCTTTCGCGTGTCCCGATCGTGTCAGCCAATTGGAGCAAACGTCACATTCCTACATTCCGGCTCTACGTGGGTCACGAGCGCAGCCCTTTTTCTCTCTCCAGCACGTTTGCGGTCCGATGACATTGCAATGAGGGATTTAAAACAATCGTAGAATTCCTGATTCATTGTCAGTCTGAGCCGATTCACTGGGTGAGCGTTTACATTTTTATATTCAGCTGGAGTCTGGGAGAATTTCATCGGGTGGGAGTGCCTTCGCCGGTTCTCGGTGTTTAGTATGTGTCGCTAGTTAGCTCGTTAGCAGGCTAGGATGCCTTTGCCTGGATTTTAGGCAACTTGTAATTTCGCTTCACTACCTTATGGTCTGGGTGTATTTAGCTTGCTCTAAGATGGCTAAGAGGATCGATGGCTTAGCCGGCTGCATTCCCCCGTTTAGAAAGAGAGATCGGTGAAACAGTGTGCATTGATGATAAACGAAATAATTTGTAACTAGCTAGTTATGACTTTGCATGTTGACATTAATTTGATCGGGCAGTTCAGCCTTGCTTCTGTTTGATATGGAAGACCCCAGCTGCACAATAAATCTACTATAAGTAGGTAGCTGAGAAATAACTAATGTCTGTCATGCAGTGATTTTTTTAAGCTTACATTTTTTTATGACGTACTGACTGCTTTGTTTGTCATGTCGCAGCACAGGATTAAGAGTTTGTTAGCTAGATAAGTAGCCTGTTAGCTAGCGGTAGCCACGGTTGCATCACCTTTAACTATTCAGATACAGGACAAAATAAAGGGCGTGGGAGCGGTGCAGGGCAGACCGGAGGGCGATACGGGCGTGCAGGATCATCTTCGGCGCATCTGTAACGCGGACGGATTGGAAACACGTAGCAAATGAGAGTAACAGCAACATTTCCCTCGTGTAATATTAAAGTACTCGTCCTTTGAATTCATAGGGAGCTAGTTGCGTTTCCAGATGCCAGTTAGTTGTGTCATTTGTGCCAGGCCATAGCATAGGGCCATTGACTAAGATGTGTCGCCTGTGCATACATGCCTTTTGTGGAAAAGATCGCGTATAAACGGGGAATGCAGTCAGTCAGGTGGCTAGATGGCTGAGAAGCAGCTAACAATGGCTTTACTTCACATAGCAGCAGGCAGTCAAGACAAAGCTGACATCATATGCAAAGGCGAGCGTATCAGTAAATATCCAAGGAGCTGATGCTATTACCATTTGTATTAATTGATTACACTGAGTATTTCATTGGAAATTGTAGTTTTGCTGTACATTATTATTTTCTACCATCTTAATTTTCCAGATATTTACCCGAGATGCTCTTTTTTATAGTTGGGAAATAGTCGTTTTAAGGCTTTTCTTGTCGCTCGGTAATTTGATTTAAAAACATTTAACCTGTATGCCAAAGACAGTATACCATTATTAGGATATGTCCTCGAAATTGCATGGCAGACTAAGTGGACAGGATGTTGCTGTGAAAACGGAACAGCATTTTTAGTTATCTGAAATAATCAATATCTTTTAAGGGAAAATCACATTTTAACGCTGGAAATCTATGGAGTGTAAAATGCGCAAATGAATAATACTCTGCTGACGGTCTGAATTTTTCTTATTCCATTATCAACATTATATTGCTGCTTGTCTTTGACTTCTGAACGATTCTTATTGCGATGTTTATATTTAATATGGATATTTCCCATGTAATAGCATGGCTGATGGCAGACATCCTCGCCATGTATGCAATCACATTTTATTACTGTAATTTGCACGCCAGCAAGTACAGTAAGTTTAGGTGTCAATTACCGATACTCTGAACGTGATAGCAACTTGTGAAATAATCATATTTTGAACATAAAATGTCAACACATTTGCCTGTATTTAAGCTGCGCCACGAGTGCAGCTGTATCATTAATTTTAATTATTTAATAGAAACTCAGCCAGAATAGCTGGAGCGCTACTTTTGCTCCTTATGTCGCGTAATGTTACATAATAACAGTAATAAAAATATGGACGCATAGCATAAGTATGTCATGATGTGTCTACTACAGGCATTTCCTGATTTGTTGGTATTGTATAATGTTTGTAGAATATCTTAATTAAAATGCAGATCATTGTTAAATCTGTGGCTGATTTGATCCAGTTCCCCTATAGGGTCATTATACTGGTACCTGCTTGGGTAACCAGGCATTGATTGAAAGCTCACTGAAAACCCACCCACCACTGAGAAGTCTCCTGAACTGTCAATTGGCTAGATTTTCCATTAGTTAATCATATTTTTCAAGGTTTTTTTTTGTGTTTGTTTTTTTTTTTATGTTATTTAGTTATTTCACAAATGATTTTGCAGCATCTTCTGCTACAGTTACGTACTTGTCTTGGTTATGCTCATCAGTAACTTTTTATAGTATGTTGCTGTGTATGTATTGTCACTGGTATTGCACTGACAGTGTAAAGGCCACTGAATTGGATCCCATCAATGTATAGCTGGGGGGGAGGGGTCGTCCGTGTGGGACAATGGGGTGGCTTTGTACATCAGGCACATTTAGAATAACTGTGCCGTGCTCAAAACGTGTCCCTACAAAATCTCATCCTTACAAAATTCAGCGGCAGGTCAAGCTGAGAATACAGCCTATTGTCATCCTCAGCCCTTTAAGCGAGGGTGTAAACACAGCTAATGCCTCTGGAATCTTCCTGTGTTCCAGTGCCAGCCCATGTTTTGGTGCAGCCCTTGCATCTCTTTGGAAGCCGTATTTTGTGGTTGTGTGTGATGACAGCATACCGTTTGTCATTACTCAGGGTGACACCCACTGCATTAAAATATCTGTACATGACAACTCAGACAGACAGGGTTAATTCTACAGATTGAAATATTCATAAATGCAAAAAGTAGTTTATTTTTTCATTCTCTGTTATGTTTGTGAAATAAAGAATACACTGTAGTATTATTTTAAGGATATGGTGTGTATCACTGGATTTCTGGCACTCACAAAAGCATACTGCCATGTTCCTTTTGAGGGTCAGGCAGGTGGGATTGCATCAATGGTGTCAGTAGCTGAGATCTGGACAGTGAACTAATATGTAAAGTTAGTTTTTACTTTTATATTGTCATGTGAAGAGCTCTAATTGCGTCAGTTGGCATGCAGTCAGCATTAATCATGCCCATATACCACTCAAAGTCCCAGCAGAGCTGCTGGTACCATCTTCTAATACTGCATTTGTCTTATTCTCTGCTTTTTAGTATAACATTAGTGAAGCTGCCAAACAGCAGCACGATTTTGGAGTATTCGATATACACAATTCCGCATGAGGTCCTTTGCGGCCGCTCGTCTTACACAACTGCAGGAAGAGTCCCCGTAGCTAATGAAATATCTTGTGATGGCGTGAACAGCTGATGTAATCAAAGAAGCGCATTGGTGGACATAATAGGTTGTTCTGCAGTGCTGTTCCTACTGCACTGGAAAGTATATTTACTTTTCAAATAAGTGTGTCGAGATTATTGCAATCATTCTTCAGCTATTGATGGTGCCGATTATTGTCATCTGTAAGATAAAGAACAGACCGGTGTTGCTGAATGCATTGTTGTGATTATTATTAATAATTCATAGCTTTGAATCCCAGCAGACCAAACATTACTCTGTATGATATTGTTTCAGTTATTAATTATATACTGCATCATTCATATACTTGGTAGGGCAGTAATATTATATAGCTCATGCATAATAATCACCAGGTTTTCGGTACTATATGTACATTTATTTATGCCCACAATTTAAGCAGATTAGTAGTGCGCTTAAAATATTAATGAGGCATTATATGACACTCAACAGTTAGTAATCAGTATAAATTCGCCATATCCTTATGTTTAATAAACCCGTCAGACTTTAAACTGCAAAAAGTACCACCACACCACCAACATCTTTATACCTTGTTTATCCCCAAGAGCTACTCTTTTAAAAATGTCCTGGCTGCTGAGCTGTCCCTTTCTTCACTGCCATATCACACTAAAGTGTACCAAACCAGAGTATACACCAAAACAATATTATGTGGTGTGCACTGCTAGCCGAATTTAAAAAAACATAACGATACTCCAAGTTTATACAGGTTACTAACTCTTGGGTTTCACAAAACGCATCTCATTAATATTTTAGCCATACTACTCCATTTAACAAATTGTGCCTGTATATAAACGTCTGCATAGTGCCGAAAAGCTGGTGTCCAGCCAAATGTTTTGCCCGTCATCCGAAGCCCTGGTGATTATTGCGCATGCGCAATGTAATAGGAATGTGATATCGCTCAGCCCTAATACTCGTACATAGCGTTTCATGCATTTCTAAGGAACTTAGTAACCACATGCTTCTGTCTGTGTGCATCACTGACCTTTAAGCTTAGGTTGACTACTTTTGGATCTGGTAAAATCCTATGCACCCCAAGCAAGCAAGGGCAGGGCCCTCAAACTTGAAAACTGTTGCAGAATCGCTGGATATATGGCTGACCATGTGCTCTGACCCCAAACTAAAGTCTCACCTGTGTATGTCTGTGTGTCTCATATAGAAGAAGATGCCAGTACAGTTCCGATAAGTACTTTTGAGGAAAAAACAAGATGTAAAAGACTTAAAATCCCGATAGTATACAGTACTATGCTACACTGATCTATTTTTGTTTGTTTAAAGCAATTTTTCACTGAGATACTAAGGACGTCTACTGAGATGTCCTGCCTGATTCCTGATTCAGAGAGAGAGATTGTGATAATTGTGCAGTATACTGCATGCTCTTTAATTATTTGTTGTAAATGATCCCATCATATGGAAAAGCTACCTTTCAGGGTTGCATTGTGTGGTTTCCTTTGAACTAATGCTGCATGGTTTTGTCAATTAGCCTGTGGTTACTCTTGTAGTAGCTATTGCCTGAGCTTGTATGGGACAGTGACCGCCAGCATGCTAACCACACTTTGATACGTAGGAGACACCTCTGTAGATGAAAGTCTGTTTTATAAGTGACCGTTACCAGTATTGCAATAACTTTGCAGTTCAACTGCATGAGCTGTATTAAGAATTGTTGAACTCTATTGGGCTTAGGGAAACCTTGTCCTGAAATCCAGGTTTAAGGCTATTTATTTCTGACTTATCTTCTGTTAAGCTGGCTTGTGACTTGCTAGTATTGAATTTGATGTGTGTGCAGTTGTTTACAG